AGTGTGTGTGTGTGTGTGTGTGTGTGTGTGTGTGTGTGTGTGTGTGTGTGTGTGTTTGAGGTCAGTAAAGGCTGGGTTTAATAGAGCAAACAGAGTCCTAGTGAAGATCAAAACTGACATCTTGTAGATAAACGTTGCTACAGAGGCCAGAAAAGGCGTTGCTGAATCACGGTTTTGCAGTTTATGTAAAAAGAAGTTCATCATGTCAAAATCAATCTGAATAAACTTATTTTGAATAAAATACATTATGTTGGATTAGAACTGCAACAACATTACTTTCAAATTAGATAATTTTCAAAAGGAATGACTCTCAATTTAAAATAATTTAAAAAAGGATTTCTGCTTCAAAACAGTGACAACTATGGATTGAGAAACACCTTTGCTTCTGCAATACAAAAAATGACTTAGACTAGACACATAAATCACATATCACATGAAACAATAGGAAATCGACTAATCTATCCCGAGCAGGAAACATTACCATGAATATCAGTCTAATGAAGTTGAGGGGTAAGACTTATAAAATAATACTAAATCTGCGCAAAAACACTAATAAATCCGGAGATAAACAGCTCTATGTCGGCATGAAGGAAAAACAACGGGCTTTGGCCAGTTTCTCTGCACTCTCAGTGGTTCAGGAGTGAATAAACTCCTGGTACGTCACAGATTCATGTCAGACATGCATCAGAATTGGCGGGAGGGCGTTGTTTAGGTTGGTTAATCTGGTTACAAGCTGCAGGCGGTTTGTCTGGGGCCAGAGAGGATGGACGGCTTTACAAAAGATTCACAGAGGAGGAAGAAGAGGAGGTGTTAGGAAGAGAGAGGAAGATGATTACGTCTCGTTAGAACATCCCAAAGCCCTCTAGAGAAAGACTTAGTTAAAGCCGTTCATCATGGAGGAGTGACGTCATCAACCTGTGATTAATCACTTAGTCCTCTGTCTTTCATCATCAAGACCATGATGGCCTTAATAATGAAGACAAGTACCAATACAGTAATGTCAACATACTCACTTCCAAGTGAAAGTAAGAAATCTCAAGTCTTGTTATCAGTCAAATGTATTTAGAGAGGCCTCCATAACAGAATGTATCATTATGTTATCCCAAGGTAATTTGTGATACCAAACCATACTCACTCTGCAGGAAGATGATCTCCATGTGTGTGTGTGTGTGTGTGTGTGTGTGTGTGTGTGTGTGTGTGTGTGTGTGTGTGTGTGTGTGTGTGTGTGTGTGTGTGTGTGTGTGTGTGTGTGTGTTTATTTAACGGTGAACCTCGTGCTCTGTAGCCTGCGCGGGAATGAGAGCTTCCTTTGTGTCGTGTGTGCGGGTCGCAGGCTAACAACACACACTCTTTACTTCACCCGCTTCTTCCTGTGTGTTCTCGGGGGACCATCGGACAGGGGTCTGAAACATGTATCCCAGCATGCATTGGGCTCAAACTGTACGATTAGCTAAAGGTGGCTAATGTTGGGCGTGACGAAGTTGAAAACACAATTTACGAAAACCATTGACTTCCAGACCAGGGGACAGGAAGAGATCAAATGCTGACTCAATATCCAGATTTAGGATTAGGACAATCACAACAGAGCCGGCCAGCTGAGCAATCAGAGCAGACTGGGCTCTGGTTTCAGACAGAGGGTGAAAAGAGGTGCTGCAGGCACTATGAGAAAATAAAGAGCTTTTTGAACATTAAAGCATGGAGACATGTCACAGGAGAGACAATAGAGGCCCCTTTAACCAACTGAACATTCACATCAAAGTTGAAAATCATACTCGTTCTTCCTTTAACATATGGTAATAATGTAATCCTGCATGCAAGCACAGAATCATTTGAGAGTGTGTCAACATGAACTGTCTCTCACACACAAAATAATCCTAATACAAATCCCAGACGTTTATCAGGAAGATCTTCCACTTTCGTGTCCATTATTACCCAAACTGCCTGTTTCCTGTCTGAAGGGGGTTTCCCATCACACTCGCCACACTGCCGGATATTATCTATTATTTTAATCTAGATTATTCTCTGAGTAATTTAATGCCACAAACGTTTCACTCTGTAATACCACTCAGATTTAATATAGGACTGATTCGGAAGCAGGGGGTTTCCAAAAGAGTGGGGACTTCAAATATATCTGAAGTAGAGCAGCAGTTAGTTACATTATTTGTATACTTAATCCAATCTATTCACGTTTTTGTCTCCAGTGCGGAAGAAGGATCTTTTTCTGAGGATATCGCTAGCTTCTTGTTAAACTGGTGAAAGAAAAATGACAGAAGGTGGTGGAACTTATATCTGTTTACATTCAGAACGCATGATCCTTCTGCTTAAAACAAATGAATATCTGACAGGAAATAAGAATGAAAACATAATTGAGCGTCAACAGGAACAGGGAGCCTCTCCTGTGAATCCTGACATGTGTGTTTTTAGGGGATGGACTGTGAGTGTTTTCATTGCTAAACATGTGACATTTCACACAACGTCATTTTTCCGGGTAAAGCTTGTAGAAAGTTTCCCAAATCAAAGGTATGTCATATAGGTGACAAAAATTAAGAAATGGGAAAACTTCAAATGTTAACAACTGAAAAGAAGGTTTAAAACCCAGATAACACGTGTTCACATAATAAAACAACTGATTTATTTGGATTTTTTTTCTAAATTCAAGTTTAATAACGTGTATTTTTTATCCAATCTTGAAGGATTTAACAGTAAAACAAAAAATTAAGTGCTGTAGATATATGTCATTAAATATAGTCTGTCAATATTTTTCTTTCTTTAAAAATGTCATACATTTGTAAAAATGCACAAAACCTAGAAGCGAATTTCTCCAATTTAATTTTCTATAACAAAAAGTGAAACTCAAAGATATTGTTTATTTCTATTTTAAATAACATGAAGCAGCAAACCTCACATGTTCAAGTGCTGAAGATAGAAAAGTTTGATCTGTGTGTTTTAAACATTACAGTTAAATCGTTTATCACCTGTCCCAACAGTTTGACAAACAGTTCCTTTACTTCAATATGTCTTTCTGTTGATTATATAATAATATTTGAACCTGCAACGTATTCAGATGGAAATGAGATACTCATTCTGGCATAAATTGTCTTTTTTCCCTTTTTAATTAATGTATGTATATGTTCCTTATTTATTAAAGACATCATTATAAATACATTTATGAGTTTTGATTTCATGGATGTCAAAATAAATGTTGTCGTGGAGGTAAGTGAACTCAGATTCAAATCGAATTGGCATTATTGGCATATCAAAAACAGTATTGTCAAATACAGTTACAACAACAAAATAAATAAAAATAACACTATTCATACATAACACAATACATGTGGCACACAGCAAACAATAATAAATGCCAACAATAACATGTAATTAAAAATAACTCACCATTCTTGTTTTTGCCACAGATCAGATGCTCGTACCCCTGCAGGACCCCCCACAGCTCCGCGTCGCTGTTCACGGTTCCCTCCAGCAGCTCCACGGTCACCGGGCAGCAGGACATCTCTCCGCCGGGCAAAAGCTTTTCTTCTTCGGCCAAACGCACAACCCGCACCGCCCGTTCCACCACCTCCTCCGTCAAACTCTCCACACATGCTGCGAGACACACTGCTGCGTACTCATGCACACGCACCGACACACGCGTCTCCACCATCCACCTGAAGAAGCGGCCAACGGACAGCGTGAGCCCGCAGCGCGCGGACTTCCCTCTCTGGCGCGCGGGGTCCCCGGAGCTCATGCAGTGCAGAGACACCGCCTTCACCGCCGAAGAGATGCACTTGTCGGCCAGAGACCAGCTGAGCACCAGCCTCACCGCGCTCTGGACCTCCAGGCGTGTGCACCGTCTGTGGAGCTCACTGAGCCGCTGCGCCTCGCGGGAGATCCGCACCAGAGCGCGCCGCAGCAGAGAGGAGAGCCGCTGGAGAGCCTCCTCTGTGATGGATGTATGCGAAACTTTACGCACGACTTCCTGCAGCTCCTGCTCCGTCCACGGGTACTCCTCCACCTCGGGCAGGCGGGGACACTTGAGCAGGAGGTCCGAGGCGTCCTCCGGTAATGAGCTCACCGTGTCCCAGCTACCGTCCCTGCTACTCAGAGAGCCGCCGTGCCGCTGCCAGGCTCCCCGCGGAGGAGTGCTGCTGTGCGGCGGAGACTGCCTCGACCCACCGGATGAGGACAGGCTGAGGGACGGGCTGAGGTCCCCGGTCACATAGCCCGGATCCAGGCTCAGGTCCTCCAGGTTCTTCACCAAAACACTGCTGGACATGATGTAGATTTGTTTTACGCACAGTGGAGTAAAACGTTTTCCATGAAGTCCAAGTTTCCCTGGAAGAAGTTCAACTGCCCAGACCAGACAGCTGTGCCACAACTGACCAAAACATGAAGAGGAGAGAGAACTGTTTTACGCACGAACCAATCACATCCTGACTCCATAATAATAACACAGGTGAGTTTACCGATAGCGCCTCCCTGTGGCCAAACTAATGATTACAGAACTGGGTAAAAAAGCTTTTAAATATGCTGCCCCGTTTGCTTGGAATAATGTACAGAAGGAGCTGAAACTGTCAGATTTGATCACTTTGGGGGAATTCAAGCCCATCTTGAAGGACAGAGAACAAGAATCCATTGGTCGATGTGATTGCTCGTATATCCCATAATTGAAGTCGTTTTAAATTGTGCCAGTTTTTAATGATTGGTTAATGTGCCATTTCATTTGTGTTTTACGACCACTGCATGTATTGTCTGTGTTTTATCTGTTGTAACTTTGTTCATGCTAACCTTCTTGGCCTGGTCACTCTTGTAAAATAGATTTTAATCTCAATGAGACTTATTACTTAAATAAAGGATATATATTACAACAAAAACTGAGGCTGAGTATTTACTGCTGTTTGTTATGGGTAACAAAATGAAGATGAAAACATGTCATACCATTTGAAGCACACTTAATTTAAGTATAAAGATGACCTCTCCAAAACAAATGCTGTTCCTTGAGTGTGGCTATTAATATCATATTCATTTATTTAAATGGTAAAATCAGGAACTTGGTTTTAAAAATTAAATGAAGTCCAATTGTTAACTTCTCTACTAATCCTATCAGTCCCATGTACAATTGATTGATTGCTGATTGATTGCTGCAGATACGTTTTATGTTAAACCACTCATGTTTATACTTGCTTAAATATAATGTTGAGTGGTTTATTTATACCAAATAATCACATTTGAAACGTTGTTCCTAAGTGTTGTGTGTCAAAATCTGAATATATGAAGTAAATACATCTGTTAAATAAATGTAGTAAAAAGTACCAAATTGTCTTCCAAAATGTTGTTGAGCAGCTAGAAGTATAATGAAGTATAAAATGAAAATACTTGGGTGAAATACACGTTTCCAAATGTGTACTTAAGTACAGTACAGATCCACAGCACACACAGAATAAACACACAAAGACTCAAGAATGATAAAAGTTGTATTGTTTCAGCTCCAGGATTTCATCACTTTCTTCAAACTCCTAACAAAAGGTGCTGTAAGTTTAAATATACAACACATCTAAAGCCAAGAACATTCAATGAACACTGTGTTTATCCTCCACATTCTGACATGAAGTGCTTGCAAATGTCATCCTTCTATAACTTATTACATTTAAATTGTAAACTAGCTGCAAATTGGTTCAATGGTGGCTTCTTTGATACAGATCTTTATACCAGATGGACTTTAAATACAGTCAAATGTCATAAAAAGCCAGAACATATTCACACAATTCAAAAACAATGGTATTAAATTGCATGACTTTGAATATTTCCAATCCAATTTGTTGTCATTTGGATTATTTCTACATGTTCAAAAGTCTTTTTACAACATTTCTACTTTTCAAGACGATGTCTCGTAGTCATGCTTAAACCTAAAACGACCACAAGATGTCAACCTTTCACTATTTTCTAAGCACAGAGCTGAAGAAAAGGGAAAACTGCTTCTAGCTTCTCTACAATACTGTACAAACACAATGCTATTCTGACATCCACATTCTCCTCTGCACGGCTCAAAACACAAAAAGGCTATTTTCAACCGTTAAAGGAGCTCAGCAAATATTCCAGTTCTTGAAAATCGTTGAGCACAAGAGCGGTGCATTTACAAAGAAGATAAGACAATAAATTACTGAGCTAAAATTAAACACTAAAAGCTCAATAGAGTGGTGCAGGAATGAGTCCTTGGACCAACAAATTACTCAGCATTTTATCCCTTCCTGTTCCCTGGTCTGGAGGTCAATGGTTTTCGGACCATACCAAGTTTTTCAAGTATGCTCTACCAACTTTCCAACTTCTAGTTTGAACGGCCATTTGGAATTCTGAAAGGGTTAGAAATGGATTCAACATCTTAAAACAAAAAAAAACACTCTTATATATTATAAATTGGCCAAGCAGTTGTTGAGAAATATTGTCCATAGCCTCTAATGCTAATCATCCCCAATTTACTGCAACCTATGCTAACTACGCAAATGGCAAGGTAGCATCTAACAGTTTCCTATTGCTGGTGAACATTACTTTACATTTCTAACATAAAACTTTGGGGTCCCAACATTTGCAGTTTGACATTGCAGACAACTATCTAACAAGTGTCTAAATGAGACGCCTACGTCATGTGACCGTGCTGCAGTTCCTTTATAGTCCTACATTAGCGTGTTACTTCAAAAAACATAAATTCATGTTCATATGTGGAGATTATCCTGCTGAACAAAACGTGTAAAATTCATAAACGTTGAGATTATTTTCTCCAATAACCCTAATTGGAAAAATCCCATTGGCTTTTTGTGGAGGGAACCAGGGTGTGTGATGCTGCCTTCAGGGTACTACTTCAAAAATAGGACATCCCTGCACCACTCTATTGGTTTCAATGTGTACAATCATGACAGTGAGCCAGCTCACCATCTCAGAGGTTTCAGTCCAACTCCTGAAAAGTTGCTTTTTGTCCTCGTGTTAAATTCCCCCGTTGTTGTGCAGCGTTCAAAACATCAACAACGTCCACAGAAGAACTGAAGCCGATCCAAATAAGGCATCAAGACATTAGTACAAAAAATAAAACTGTTACTCTGCTAGCAAACATTTTACAAAGGCCGACTGAGAAACACTTTTGTTCTCTCACGGAAAACGTTACAAAACTACAAAAAAGTAAATTTTATTTTAAAGGGTGATGCCTCTAAGATGTCCGTATGCTTCGTTATAAAACTCCATCAAAGAGACTTTCGGGTATTTCAAAACAGGAAACATTTCCAAGTGTCTGTGTAGCTGGGTCTCCTCTTCATTATAAGATTTTTAGAGAAATTGGCACAAGTTATCAAAATGCAAATAACATGCATAGTGAGAGAGATGTGATTTAAAAAGGATTCCATTGTGACTTAGAAAGACGATGTTAGGTAAGTTTGTTCTGCAAAGATTCTTGGGTTTACCTTGTGTTAGTTAAGTAATTAAATACTTAATTATTTTCAAATCAATTTACACTATTATCAATATTTTTAGAATTGAACACATTCATCCCGTTGGCACTATGATGACATTTGGAAATAAATATGATACTGCAATATAAATGAGATTCAGGATTTTGGAGGGAATGATTATTTCCCCTTCATAATAGCCTATACTAAAATGGTCATGGTTGGGATTTATCTTGTATGGATTTGCACCAAACTGTGGAATAGTTTCTGCAGCACCATAACACACTGATTACAGGGAGGCATGTGGCGCAGTGGACTTGTGCGTTGGTGTTCGGATCAGTGGGGTACAGGTTCAAACCCCACTACAATCACGGCCCCAACTCACGGCGGCGTGCGTTGAAGCTTCAACGCTTCTGCCCGTTCACTTTGAATGGGGTGACGTGACACTTCGCCGAACTGCATTGTGGGAGCGTCGCTACGCGTTGCAAAAGTTGAGCAATGTTCAACGTTTGAAGCTTCGACGGAAGCGTCAGCCAATCGAATCATATGCCAGTACAAGCTCTAGCCAATCACACCGCGTGCTTGTGTGTCCGGGGCGGGAGATTCATGTGATTGGTTGTTGGTCGAGTTTCAGACACGCCCACCGGCAAGCTTCAACGCACGCTGCTGTGTGGACGGGCCGTTAAACGAGGTGAAAAAATGCTCAACAAGGCACAAAAGAAAATCGCTCACCAAGTGAGGAACAAAACTAAGTAAAAAGTAAATCAGGAGCATGAATCAGGCTTGAGATAAGATAAGTAACTGCTGGAACGCTGACTACTGACATGGAGACTGGACAAGACGAATTGACAAAATAAGGGGAGACTGGGGAATTTAAACAAGAGGTAACTGGGCACAGCTGGAAACAATCAGGGGCGGGGCGGGCGCTGATGAGAGCGGGAGACACACACAAGGGTAGGGAGTCAAGGGACCTGGAATGAAACTTAACAGGTGAGTGTCAAAACAAAACAGGAAGTGGGAGACAATACAAAAATGTACTAAACAAAAATATGAAACATGACTAGACTCAACACTTTTGACGCGACACAACAAAGTGTTGTTATGTCCATCTTTAGGTGGCATACAATGTGCCTGCATAGTTGTATTTGCTTGTATTTTAATTTTTTATTGGCCAAGCCTTTTAACCCTCCTGTTGTGTTCGGATCAAATCTGACCGATTTACTACTTTCATCAATCATAAGTATTGCATTGTGTTTCACATTTGATTGTCTCAAGGCCTTATGATATCCTCCACAGTAGGGTTATGAACATATAACATTTGCTGATCACCAGTTTCAATTTTGAGTGGTTTAGTCAACTTTCTGTCAAAAATGACCGCCATAGGAAATGAATGGGTAACCCTAGAATATGTTAGAAAATATACTCAAGTAGAAGTACAGATACTCGTGTTTAAAAATACTCTGGTGAAAGTAGAAGTACTGACTAAACTTCTTTACTCAAGTCAAACTAAAGAGGCTTTGAAATGTACTTCAGTAAAAAGTACCCATAACTAGCAGCTGTTTTAAAGAGTACCTGATCTCCCTTTATATTAATAGAACAATAATGTCATTGTTAGCTAATGAATGTTTCCATGCTGAACAACGGCAACATGACAACGTTTCCATTGGTCCCTCTTCTTTAGAGAAGACCAGGAAATGATGGATACACGGATCGTGTTCAAATCAATAGGCACGCAATGACTCTAAATAATAATGATCACGCCACCAAACACACATTCAGACTAAAGGAACCAGCCTGTTTGGAAAATGAGAGAAGTAGAAAGTACAGGTATTTGAGTTCAACA